GCACACTTTGGGAAGCACAGATAATATAACACCACAGAAAGCTATCTGAGAACACAACACTGAAGGCTCTGTGCATTTGCCTGGGTGGCTGGTTTTTAAGAGCATTTTGGATCTGAGTATCCTTCCCAGGGCCAGGAGGCTACGCTCCTGACTTGATCAGGGAAAGAACGTGAAGATTTAACTCAGCACAGTCTCAGCACAGACCCAACAGTTCAGCATCCACTATATAACAAATACCCTGATGGCTGATGAGGATGGCAAAGAAATCCAGCTATTAGAACTAAAATAATTCCATCTACCTGGCTTCCATCATAACAACATTGACAAATAACATCGTGGTCACGTAAATATTTCACTCACCAAACCCCACAGAGCACCCGGAGAGGTAGCAGTGATCGTAGCTGCTCTGGGCGTATTGTACATTAAGGCCAGTTCACCGAAACTCCCACGATTGTCGTAGTTACCAACACACCTTCCGACACCATCGCATTTCACATAAATATCAAACGTTCCTCTGTTGGACATATGAAAAGTAAGAGGTAAAAAGAATTCAAGCAAAATCTCATCACTATCAAACATAATTTCAGAGAAGAGCCCTGTGCAAGAAAAATCCCATTTCCAGCTTCCCTTTCTCCTCTGTTGGTTGACAAGGAATAAAAGGGCATCAGTATGTGCCAGAGACAACATCTGTGCCAGACAAGCAGGAAGACACCATCACCTAGATGAGGGTAAGGACCATACATGGGTCTGTGGTGGAAAAAGAGACTAAACAATAAAAGTTTACAATAATAAAATAAATGATGAAAATAGAAGACTACAACCAAATAGTGTATGTGTAGGCATCCTTCTGAAGGAATGTATATGAAACAAAGCTGTCTGTATTTATCTCTGAGCATTAAGAATAGTGAAAGATTCTAGAATGTTCACTACCTAATTAAAGAGGTTCTGTCTCCCACATGAACATGTATTACTTCTGAAATGAGAGGAAAATACTTTTCTTTTTTAAAATGTTGATTTATTTTGAGGGGGGCAGGCAGGGGGTGGTGGGCAGAGAGAAACTCCCAAGCAGGCTCTGCACTGTCAGCATGGAGCCCGACGCCGGGCTCGAACTCACAAACCGTGAGATCGTGACCTGAGCTGAAATCAAGAATCAGACACTCAACCAACTGAGCCACCCATGCGGCCCAGAAGAAAATAACTTTAAAAAAAAACATACAGCTCTAACAATTTGGTCAGCACCATTGTACAACACTTACAAGGGTCCTTTATAATCTAAGGGGGGGCCAGCAAAGCATGGCCCACAGACTGGCTGCCTGCTTTCATGAATCAAGTTTTACTGGAACACAGACGCACGGGTTTGTTTATGGCTTACTGATCGCTGATATGTACTGCCACAACAGAGCTGAGTAGTTGTGACGGAGACCACATGGCCTACAAAGCCTAAAAAATTTACTAGAGCTCTTTACATCACTTGGCCCTTTATTGTAGACTGACACCCCAATCTAAAGCAAAAAGTGGTAGAAATTCAGACTATCTGATTCTGGTCTTTCTGTAGGTCTTTTTATTCTGTGCTTATCTTTTATTTGGGTTCTTATTCTAGGCAAGTAACACTCAGTCTGCATGGCACTGTGCTACATATTTGACAGATCCTCTCTCTATATAACTGCATTCTTCTTGTGGAGGACTGTCTTTCCACACACTGTATTTTATCAGAGAACATGGCTTCAAGGCTGGCCGAAACACCAGGAGGGCAGCTGGCAGAAGTTCTTTGCCTTTATCGTGTTGGTTAAACCCTTAACAAAAACAGAGAGAGCTTTGAAGATTAGAAAAGGATTATGAATGATAAGGATACAACAAAAGCAAAAACAAAAAAAACGTTAGAAACTAGACAAAGATACTAATAAGAGAATAACTGGCTTGTATATTCATGGACAGAATGGCTTTTCAAGGATACCTTCTAAAATTTGTTTCATGACTGTTTTTCAAGTACAGATTACTTCTTCTCTTGGCACTATCTACACTTGCACTAAACACGTTCTCTACATTTCCTCCTTTGAACAGAATAAAATACACAACAAATGTGCTGATGAGAAGTAAAATAACTATCAGTCACCTGCGATCACGTCAGTCTATAATCTGTACTGCCTTTTCATATAGATTTCTTCCCTGATAACATGAGGGGTCAGGAAGTGTGAAGCCGTGGAAAGACCACAAACAGTGGCCAAGAGACCTGGATGCTGGGCTGGCTGACTTTAACTGACTACCGTCACTTCCCTGTGCCTGGGAGTTTTCACCTGACAAATGGGTGATGAGGAGCTAACCAAAAAGGGAAATGTAAGGGAGTTTTTAACCACATTTGGGTTTCTCATATACCCCTACAGTTAAATACACTTTAAAAGCTGAGGGAATTTCTGAGGTGTTTCACTGATGACGGCTGTTAATGACATGAAGATCAAGACTTTAATTTACGTATGGGATAAATGGGTCTGTTCTAAAATCGGAGAGCTCACCCTAGCCCTGGCTACCATCTTGCCAACAGCTCTACACGTCACTGAGGCATTAGGGATGAGGGAATGGAGGAGTCAGCGAGCACCCTCGATGCGGAGAGCATGCTCGATCACTGATGTAGGAGGGCCAAGTCAAGAAACGAGGCCTGTGCAGACACATGGCTGCGATTTTCTGCAAGGTTCTGAGTTGAACACAACTCTACTCAGAGCAACAAATATAACCCAATGAACCAGCAGGGAGAAGTCCTGTGTTGCACCTGGAATGGGAAGGGCAGGGGATGCCAATGGTCTCATAAACACTTTATCATCGCTTTCCAAAAGCGAAGACCTAAACACTCAGTTCAGACTGCTCCGCCATTAACAGTTTAGGGCTCTTACCTAATTGTCACTTAAAGCACATGGTTCGCTGATCAAGTAAAGCACCACTTAAGTTTTCTGAAATTACATTTTCAGTACGAACACATGCCTTCTCACTGAAATAAAATAATTTCTCTACAGTGCTTTAAAATCACTTCTCTATAATGCTTTTAATGCACAAGAATGCAGAACAATTTCTGGAAAGAGCATAAACTACTCTCTCCTATCATGGGCGTGTTTTACTTTAGAGTTCATTAAAAAAAAAAAAGAAC